TTTAGTAATTAATTAAATATGACATATAATCATGGAAAAGTATCCTAATGTAATCTGGTGTTTGTTTGGCATTACAAATTTCATAAAGCGTATTCATTATATTTATTTAAAAATCATTATTTGAAGTCTAAAACTTTGGCATACAACATTTTAAAAAAAATAATTATGCTTACTATGTGTATGCAGACTCAAAAAGGTTCACCATCCTGAATTATAATACAGTTTATGCTTTCTTGTCAAATGCAGACTGAAAGCTCTTGACAGTGTTTTTGTGCTCAAATATATACTGTAATATTTTGTATTGCGTTTGATAATGTCTTTTCAAGAGTAATGTAATGTTGGTTATTCAAAAGAGTAAATTATGTCTTTTGAATAATCAACAGTTAATACAGTAAACTGCTGCCAACTCAGAAAAATTTTTTGAAAATCTGTACAATAATTTAAAAATTCTTGACAATAGAAAAATTATAATTATAATGAAATTGTAATCAATGAGAGTTTTTGATATCCAGAAGTCTTTGTGATAATGTGCATTATATATTACTGTAATCAGTAAGTTGCTAAAAACTGTCATTGCTAAATAATATATTATCATAAAATTTTTTGAATTCATTTCCTGTAATAAATTCAGTTATATAACATACTAAAGCTCAGTAAAACTTCTGTTTAGAGTTGATCATAATAAATTATTATAGCTTACTGTATATCAGTTTTCTAGTTTTCTATATCATCAGAGAAAATACTCTGCTAAGTTGGATTTTTGTAAACTCAGACAAGCTTCATCTCCAATTAGTCTGAATTAGTAAGGGTTTATTGTATTTCCAAAGAAGGTATGAAATATTGTTATTCTTTACTTTTGAAAGATACTGATATGTTGTATAATTCTACAGAAACATGTAAGAACTTTTATGTCTATTGAATTAATAATGTTCTGTTTAATAGCAATTTAAATATAATAATATACATTGTTTATTTATCTTTTTATATAAATTAAAGAAGTAATTAAATAAAATGTGCATACATCATATCATACATGTTTTATTTTTAAAAATTTACGATTAAGATGGATTAAAATTAGTTGTTATATTACTTACTTTTCCGCCATCTTCTTTCGCGAAAGAAACGTCTATATCTGATAGAAGTATAATGCGCCGTCTAGTGTACTGTTTTATGAAATATAGCCCAATAATAGTCACATTAAAGCTCTCGCTAGTGTGCGATATTTCTTACAGCGTGTATTAAAATAATAATAATAATAATTTTTGGTTAACGCGATAAAGGAAACTTTTATCACTTTGACAGAGCTTTCAACCCTCAGCTTTTTTACACGAACAATTAGCTTTCCGTAGATGTTGTCGGNCAATAAATTTAAATAGATATAACATACAAAAATCAAAAACTACATTTTTTTTGTATATAAGTGGTCAATTTATAAATATCAGTTGCAAATATATCCTGAACTATACATTAATTGAAAAAGAATGTTATATGAAAGTTTATTATTTTGGAGAGGAATTTTGAACCACAGAAATTAAGCTACTGAAACTTTTTACATTAACATTAATCAAAAAAATTGTCCAGAATAAAATGCTATTTTTCAACAGAGAATCCAAAAATACAAAATTGGGGCTCATTTGAAAATCTAAAGTTACCCACCTGTCCTAACCACAAGGAGAAGAGAGTAGCTTAATTTCTGTGGTTCAAAATTCTCCTTCAAAATAATAAACTTTCATATAACACTCTTTTTCAATTTAATGTATATTTCAAAGATATTTGCAATTGACATTATAAATCAATCAGCATAGGACACAGTTCAGATATTTACAAAAAATCTCATGGATCGATATACAAGATGGTTTGGAAAGTTATGACTAAAAAACTTCATTATATTATTTTTTTAAAGAGGTCAGTTTAAATATTTTGATAAATGTTTTCAGATATTGTCTATATCCATCTTCAGACTGAACATAGAATGAAGAATTTTTATTAGAAAAAATCATAGACAGTATCAAAAAACATTGAAACATTTAAACTGATCTCTGAAAAAAAAAAAGTTTTTTAGTCATAATCTGTTCAATTAAAAATATGGTGTCAAGCATATATAAATCTTAATATGAGATTGTATTGGAAAGTTCCCAGACTGTACTTCTCATGATGTTTTTTCACCTTAATAAGATGGCTTAGGCACATGGCTGAAACTTTTTGAGAGACATGCAATTTGAGGAAAGACAAATTTTATATACACTCATAGGTACTACCCCATTAAGACAGCATTGGTTAAGAAAGATCAGTTATTCTTCATTAATCATCAGTTTTATGGCTATCTTCTTGCCTCTTCTTGGCAACATTAAAACTCAAAACTGGTTTTGAGTTCCCATTTCTTTCAGTTGTTTATCGTAATGGTGATTGCATTTTCATGTGACAGTTCTTCATTAAATATACAGTAGTATTCCTGTCAAACTAAAATCACAGGTTCAATTTGGCAAGCCAAACATTACATTGCACATTTCTATGTATGACTGTCATCTTGACTGAGACACTTGACTTGGTGCAAGACCTTGGCTGGCTATGCACACCATGCCCTCCCACCTACAATCTATATATATATATATATAAATGAATGTATGTCTGTCTGTTCGTCTGTCCTTCATGCATTACCAAACCGTTTATCCGATTGCCATGAAACTTTGGTAAGTTGTTTAATATACACCTGCAAAGGTTTCTGGCATAGTACGATTGCCATTAAGCTTTGAGAAGTTTTTTAATATACTCCCGCAAAGGTTTCTGGCATAGTATATTTATCCTATGATAGATGGCGCGCGTGTATACGAGCATTTTGTGTGTGCGATCAATTTCAAATTGTGAAGACCATGTTCCCCCTCCAAAAAATATCTCTATATATGCATTTGTAAACTGTTATTTACAATATTTGTAATGATTTTTGTTTAATCACTTTATTTCAACTTTTTTTTGCCAATTATGTATTCGTTCGAACTTTGTTAAAACTTTAACTGTACCCCGAACAACAACCAAAGTTGTAGGAGGAAATTCACCTATTTTACCGATCTAGGTATCCCCCTTTTCCAAATTTTAATGTCAACTCAAAATAATTTAAAAAGACAAATTACAATAAAACAGTTTATTATCCAACTATCAGAAATTTCACAACATGCCAAGGAAGAGAGGAAGGAGCAATTAAATAGTTAAAATTATAAAGGATTAAAAAAAATATATAAAAATGGGGAATATCACACTTCTGACAATCGCTGCAAGTGTGTGGGCTAAATTTGGAGAATCCGTGCTTCTTGCATGGACAAGTGTATGTGGCCAGCTCACGTGTTGGAAAACCTTCTGATTTATTCGTGTACACACCAGATGGAAAAACAAAAAATATCATGTATCCACAAGCACTCTAATAAATAAATAGAATTGAAACAACACTTTGAAATGTTTTCCCGATGAAAATGAATAATAATAATAATAATGATAAAATGTAAATTGAATTTTATCGTAACGAGTTTGCTTGAATTTCATTTCTTCTGAGATTGCAGCAGTGCACGACGGATAAGCTAGTAGTATATAAAAAAAAACTTAATTGCTCTTCAATTTAGCACCTGTCTTATATTTCTATCATGTTTCCTTGTAATGTTATAACAGTTTGAAACCCCACCAAATCCTTACAGACATTATTTTAATGGCATAACTGATTTTTTTATGAATGCTACTAACATTCTGTTCTATGTGAATGATATTGCCTGAAAAGGGCACTTATATACTGTTGAAAGTACTTGCATAAATAAACCTTTCCATAATGCCAACTGACAGTTTTGTTGATTTTGATAACATGTTTACTACAATGCCAAATGTATTGGGTTTTTCATGCATTTAACTATTCAAATTATAATAAAAATTAATTATTCATAATTTGATAATTCAGCAAAATTATTAGATTATGAATAATTATTCAACTACATTTAATATATTAGAAATAGCTACTTAAATTATTAATCTAAATATATAAAATTACTTGTCCTGACTGACTGAATGACTGATTCATCATCGCATAGAGCAAACTGCTGAATCTGAAGAAGTAAAATTTGGTATACAGTTAGGGTACATCACGAAAACGCGCACTAAGAAGGGATTTTTCGAAATTCCCCCGTGGAGGGAGAGGGAGAGGATTAAGGCTTAACCGGAAGAACGGCTTCTACTGTACTATTTTAGATGTGACTTTTTGTTTTTATCTGTGTTTTAGTAGGGTATGCTATTTCGATTATAGAATGATTATAAACGTTCCAGAAAATAGGGTACGCCATGGGAATGCACACTAAAAAGGGATTTTTTTAAATTCTCCTGCAGGGGGGAAAGGGAGAGCATTAAAGCTTATCTGGAAAAATGGCTTCTACTGTACTATTTTAGATGCAGTCTACACAGTTAGTGTACGTCATGAAAATGCACACTAAGAAGGGATTTTTCGAAATTCCCCCGCGGGGGGAGAGGGAGAGAATTAAGGATTAACCGGAAGAACGGCTTCTACTGTACTATTTTAGATGTGATTTTTTTGTTTTCAACTATGTTTGGTCTTCATTGAGTACTTAGGTGTATTAAATTGATAACATTTCAGATATTGTTATAAATATTTTTATCTATTTCGATTTTAAAAATGTTCGAACCGTTTTAAATTTGAATTTGTTATTGCATATTGGTTCGATTATAGAACAATTGTAAACGTTCCAGAAAATTGATCAAATTGAAAATAGTTTGTTTGATTCTCGGCAATTTTCATCATTCTCAGCGGTAGGTGTTATATAAGAATTACTATCGTTGTTGAAATACTGAATATAAATAGGGTTTGCTTGCAAAATCCTTGTGGGCAAAGCCGCGGGTAACAGCTAGTATTCATATAAAATATTAAATAAATTCAATTTGAAAGTTTTTGCATTATTTTCTTACACTTGATTGTTTTAATTCTTACTAAGAGATTAAGAGATTTTAATGAATTTAGTATACATGAATTTTATTTTACCTGTAACTGATATTCTTCTTGAGGTAAACAATCAATTACATCCACACATCCTAACAAACATCCAGTTGGATATTGTTCGGGAAATTTAATATAACTAGCTAGAGAAATAAATAATGAATTATTTATACATGTATTGAAATATTTTTACATATTTCTATAACTAATATTTAAACAAAAACTCATTTATAGTGGTACCTCATACTTTGAACGTTTCAGAATTCAAATGCTAAATTCAATAGAAATTTGATCCAGAGTTCAATGCATTTACATTCAAACTGCACATGTAGTAAAAAATTGCACTTGCTACATAAACACCATCTTTTGAGCATCCAAGTCATATCTCATTCTCATTGTGAAAGCATCTCTTGCATTAACCTTGCATGTTTTTTGTGTTTTTTTTCACTTTTTTTGGTGTGTTTTTTTAATATAGATATCTCCTACCTATTAACCATGGAATCCAAGAAGAATATGGAAGCAACAAAGCCTATGAGGAAGGTTTTCATGTTAATGATTGAAATGAAAAAGAAACTCACTGCAAAGTATGAGAGCAGGGGCTGTATTCTGGTCATCGTCTCTCGTCTTTCATCTCTCACAAGCTGGTCGCCGTTTGGCTAATCATTTGTTTACGTTTCGAGAGATCATCGCATCTCTCCAAACACAATTCTGGACAACTTTTTCTCTCAACGATTCTCTCATTTGTCAGAGACGCATGGATAGTTGTCTTTTGACCAGTCTTTCATCTCGATTTTGTTATATCCAATATGGACAACTGGATGCTACTCGAGCTGTACAATCATATTAGAGAACATTCTCTATCTCGGAAAAGAATATTTTGAGAGAAAAAATGCTTCTGATTTTTTCCAGTGCTTACTCAGAAATGCCACTGATTCCATTTTTTTTTTAATTATCCTACATCAATTACTGAACTATCGAATATGATGTTAATCTTACATAGATAATTAAGGAGAAATAGATGGTAATGTTTCAAAAAATATCTAAGTATGACGCTTTTTAAATTAGGTTATTAAAATTTTTATTTTGAGACAAATTGGCATTACAATCTATAAAAACATTATAAAACAAAACACATACATTTGTTGAAATTAAGTGCTTTATTTGAACACATGCTTTCCTTGCCACATGATCTATGATTATGTACTCTGCATTTTCAAAAATTTTACAATTTCATTGGTTAAAATTCTATACTGTGTTGCGCGTGGAGATAACCCGAACATATATAACCAACCTAGTAGTATCATGACGTCATCAATGAAGATGAGGTCATTAAAAGTGACCAGAATTGCCACTGTTTCTGAGAGACGAATTTCGTCTTAATTTTAATAAAATTTTAATAACCTAATTTAAAAAGCGTGCATACGAATGACACCACTGTTTCTGAGAGACAAAATTTGTCTCTCAGAAACAGTGGTGTCATTCGTCATTGAAAGAAGAGACGAGAAATAAGTGAACAGAATATATCCCCAGTACATGTGACAGATCTTCAGCTATGTTTAAGATTCCAAACTTAGTGGTGCACAACCAGTAAATGCAGTTTTCATTTTATTATAGATTATTTATGTATTTTATTTATTGTTTCATGTTTTAACTTATCATTTAGGGCATTTCATTATGTTATTTCTACATTAAATTATGTGTATTTGCTGTTTATCAAAATGGGTACAGTTTTAGGGTCTGAAAATGGATTAATTCACTTTCCATTATTTCTAATCGAAAAAATTAATTTGCACTTCAAACAATTCAGAGTTTGAACAGCCTGCTGAAACAAATTAAATTCAAAGTACAAGGCACCATTGTATATCCAATTTTGTTTATATTAGATAATTCAGATTATATTAAATACATTTTAACATATGATGGTAGCAAATAAATACTATATTATATATCAGTATATCTTTTAACCATACAGAATTATAGAAATTAATATACCTCTTAAAATAGAATTCTTAAAAACAAATTATTATTATTATTATTTTAAAATTAAAAATATAACATATATCAAAAAATATTGTATTAAACAATTATATCTTAAGTAAAAGTATAAAAAAAGGTTTTATACCTCCTTTAATAATTCTTGTTGAATTTTCTAACTGTAATATTTCTTGCTGTGTTGGTACTTTTGCACCTGCATGAATCCATAATCTTCCTCTATGTGAAGTATACCACGTTCGTCCTTCATGTCTTGTATTATCAATAATATTTAAACATATTAAAATTTGTATGCAAAATTTTAAAATTATAATTTGTTATTTATTAAGTCTAAGTTATTTATTTTCAAATTATCTTCACTTACATTATTTACAAATTATCTTCACTTACATTATATACCAAAATTGAATTATACATTTTGATCAGAAATTGCATATTATATATATAAGATCTAATTAAAAGAAAAAAAATCCTAGATTAATTTCATTTCTCTGATACAATAGCATGACTTTCTAAGTGATACTTTTATACTAAATTTTGTCCAAAACTTGAAAAAATAAATAGTGAAACATTTTAAACAATTAAATGCTTATGGAGCTATAAACAACATACAAATTTTAAGCAGTTTCATCACTTTAAAGGAGGTTGAACGTCCATAGAAAACTAAGTATGCTGGAAATCCTTCAGCATATTTGTTCACTAAATGATAATGAATGCATATTTTAATAGGAGCTAATTATAGACCAAAAGGTAGAAAAATCACTGATGAAGTAAGAATTGTGCTATCATTTGTTTTATCAGGCAATTTTAAAAGATTTAAGCTCAAGGGCACCTGCAGAATTTTGTCTCGGAAAAAACATGTATTATTTAGATAAACTAACCAATTGATTCACTAAAATAATACATTTTTTAAAAAATAGATGCTGTCTACTTACATTATCTGTATCTTCTTAACAGTGAATAAAAGTGTATAAAACAGAACTGTGGAGTCGCGTAAAAATCTACTGACTCCAACTCCGACTCCGACTTTTCCTTACCATCTGACTCCGACTAGGGGCAGACTTGTTACCGAAAGAGACCCAGAAATTCTGATGTCAACATGTGACCTCAGAATAAAATATTCAATAAATAGAGTTGTAATAAAGATAGAGCGTAGAAACTTTTTATTCCAAAGCTAAAAGACTTCTCTAAGTAATATATAAATATGTATTTGATAATTTTTACTTTTCCGGCTGTTATATATATATAACAGAGGAAAGTGTAGTGCTTGGTCAAAAAATGACCCCTCCCAAATTTTTACATTTTTGGACTCAGAACACCTTGAAATTTTGAGATATGCAAAAGATTTGAGGTTTTTTTCTATATGTGTGGATGTTAGACTCTGTGTGATGTGTAATGGGGGGCATGATTTCGTTCACCCTGTTTGAAGCCTAATAATTTCTGTGGTCAGAGTGGTTAGAATCAGAGTCAGATGGCTTAACACAGGAGTTAGTTATTTAAGTCAAAGTGGTTGAACTAAATCGTGTCCCCATATACATTCTAACATCTTAAGCGAGAACATCTTAACAGGTTTTACTGTACTATTATAAAATGGCAAAAAAACTTACTTTGAGGGTAAAGACGAGTTTTATTTTATTTTTTTAAATTTTGAACACTAATGAGTAAAATATTCATTAGGAGATATGGCACGTGACCACTTTTATGTCTTCACCCTGTCGACCTTTAATTAAGAACCAAAATTTAATAGTATTAATGTCCCTTTATACGCAAGCTTCAGTGCCACATTTCGTTTCTTAAACTTTATTTGTTCTGAGATATTGTTTAATATCTCAGAAAAGAAAATAAAGAAATTAAACAAATTAGATGCCAACACACGCGCGCGCGAATTTTCCCCTTTATTGACTTTTTTAAGGGGTTCGGGAGGTCTCCAAACGTGTAGATTTGCAAAAAAAAAAAAAAAGCTTGGAGGGTCAAATTTGACACGATTCCAATACTTTTCCGTTTTATATACATAACAAGTTGGTAAGTAAAAAGAAGTCGGAGTCAGAGGGTTTTTTGACGACTCCGACTCCCACTCCACAGCCTTGGTATAAAAACAAGCAAAATGTTATTTTTATTATAAAATGTGGTGTATTCTAAATAGTACAGCACTTGTATTCAACTTAAAAAATTGAGAAGTCATATCATTGTGTACAGATTGTAGTTGCACACTTTGAAGATTATAAAAATAAATGTACTCATAAAATAACTTTTGTTTTATAAAATTCTTATTAGAAAAGTACTGAAGGAAAAGAACAAAAAATAAAACAGATCTTAGGTGCCTTTCCTGATTCCTTCCTGTGAGTATCTTGTTTAGACATATGTAACTTTAGCAAAGTTCATTCCATAACTTCTAATCTTAGAGAAGATAAAATTACTTTAAAAGAACATAGTACAGGTAAATGAAGAAAAAACATAGATATATGATTATGATCCTAATTAAAGCTAAAATCATTGCATTAACACAACACATCACCAAATTTCAAAAGTGCAGCAATATTGTATTCACTAGACCTTACTCTAAATGATTATTTTCTATTCACTAGGATAAAAATTTATTTATTACATTAAATTTGGCAATGTCTTGTAAACAATATTTGCCACCCCCATTACAATAATCCCAATAAGTTAAAAATAAAAAAAATATGCAGTTAAACCAAAGTGAAAAAAAAAAAAAAAACAAAAAAATGCTTTGAAAACAGAGATTTAACGATGTTGATATCATAAAACATAATGAAATAGAGCTTCTTTTTTAATTACTAGAAAATGTAAACTTTGAGTGTTTCCAATGATGGAATGATTACTGAGATAAATGTTTTACATTAATGGATGATTTTAAGAAATATTTATTACTCTGATATTAGTGAGAGGGGCAACAAACATAATTTAAACATTTTTAAAATCCATATATAATTTTGACTCAAAATTGTTGATAAAATATTTTTTTACTTGAATTTAATAAATAAAAATGAAACAAATTTTACTAAAATATATTTTAAAAAATAAAAATAACTGAACAATTTGATTGTTGCAGAAAGTTTTTATACAATTCATTGTTTATAAATTTTTAGTAATTTTGATTTTAGTAATATAGAAAACTACAATATATAGTAAAACTAAATATATATAATATACATTATATATATAACTAGCTGCAAGGACCCGCTTCGCTGGGTTTTTATTTGTTTGTACATTTGTATGTAATATAGCTTTTTTTATATATAAAAAACTGTTTTTCTAAGTAATCTAAAATCTAGCTGCAAGGACCCGCTTCGCTGGGCAAAAAGTAACGATAGTGAAGATTAAGATAATTACATTATAGCCAATCTTACCCGTTTTCACAGAATGCAAGAATTAGGTCCCCCGTTTCCAGACTAATTAGAGACCTGGTCCTTATTCTATTTCTGAACGTCTCTTGTTCACGTCTAGTCAAACGAACTATTTTCAACGTTTCTGGAACGTTTACAATCGTTCTATAATCGAACCAATATTCGAATTTTATGATTGAATTTAATTCGAACAAAACATTCGAAATAGAAAGCCACTTTCAACCACTTTCAAGCCCATATCTCCCGCACCCTTATAGCTATCGAGACGCAACCACCCCTATGCACGAATGGAGACTTGGGGCTACCACCACATACAAACACCATTCACGTGTGATGTGTAGTTTTGGCGAAAAAGTGAAATATAGGGACATACATGTCCATTTTTATATATATATATATATATATATATATAGATATAGATTGTACCTATAACTTACTGTTTTATTCCTGAAATTAGAAATGAAGCCCAAGGTTGCTGAACACTAAGACACATTCCTTCATCTGACATTTTTTGGAGTTCAGTATCTTGTATTCTCATTTTACGTAACCATAAGTTTTCATCCCAAAGTGTAAGTTCTTTTTTAGGATATTGATCATCTTCACTGTTTTCATACTAAAATTTATAAATGTAAAATTTATATTAATTTTTTCAGAATCTTGTAAATTAGGATTTCATGTAGATTACAGATAATTTTAATTTATATATAATTATCTTATATATTTTTTTAAATATTAAAGCTAGTGCAGAGAAAACTTTTTTATATTAAAAATATTTTGCAAAAAAAGTCATTTAATTTTCTTTCATTCAAAAGCAAGTATGTTTTACTAAATTAACATTAACACTGATTTAATATTAAAAATATGAACCATTTCTTCAATACACTTTTCTATCCGTCAAAACTATTTATCAAACATTTTCCCCTTCTTTCTCAGTTCAGCATAATGTCCCCTTCCTGGTAACAATACAGGGTGGTAAAGAAAGTCACTTAACACCTCTGCTACAGAACATAGAATGTACCTGAAGTTAATTTGCTCATATCAGGAACACATTAGTCCAAGGGAAAAACAGATTAACATGTGTTACATGCATGACTGCCATCTTGATGGCAAGCCATATCAAATGTAACTTTGAAATTTTAAATATGGAAGGAGGTCATGTAACATCATTTAGGGTCAGATTTTCACAGAGAATTGATTTTTGAAAGACTTTTTGACCTACCTTGAATGGTTACAGAGTTATGAATGTGTTTCCTTTGTTGTTACAGGTTGAAAAGCAGACAACACAATGCCTCTAACACAGGAAGAATGTACTGAAATTGTCTTAATGGCAGGGAAAAGAAGTTCCAGGATGACTGCACAGCATTTTAATCAATGTCATCCACACCAAGTGCCTGTGTCACACATAGCAGTTGCTAATCTACTCCAGAAATTCAGGAAGATGAAATCAGTCCATGATAAGAAATGTTCAGACTGTGCAATCACCCTGGAACTTCTCTCCCTCTGCCATCAGAGGAGAGAAGTTCCAGGGTGATTATCCTCTTTATTAAATTTTATTTGGCAGAAAACTCTAGACCTTTTTACTTACTGACCATGTTGTTTGACACTTATGAGTATGGAGTTATTTTCTTTTTTTGGATTTTTAAAGGGTGTTGAAATTATAGTCATAATTTGTCACTACAATTCTCCAGTTTGGCATATACCTCCTCACAGGCAACAGTACACTAGCCAACAACATTAAACTAGCCTTTTTCAAATTTCTGGAACATAATTTGATACCATTCCACTCATTGAGCATGTTGCTGCTCAGTCAGCTTATGAAGCACCTAGAGAATACAGACTTTTTCAACTGCAGATAATCATGAAGAATGAAATGTGTTGATGGTGTATGAATTATTCTGTGTGACATTTGCTAGTATTCCGCCAACATTTGTCAAATAACAATGTTTTCAACATTTAAAGTCAATTCAGAGCAACCTGTACTTGAGACATCCTCCAGTTCAAACTACTTGTATCATCTGTATATGCTGTTAACTTTTAACTTAGAGGAGATAAAATCAATGTTTTTTCCCAAACATTGATTTTATCTCCTCTAAGCACTAATCAAGAGTGAGGCCATGCTTAAAATTATATAAAAAGTTTGTGCAAAAATCTCTCAAAGTATGCCATTCTGTAACAGTAGCACTATTAGGAATAGAGATAGCAACTTTGAATATGTTTGTGCAAACAGTTTTGAAAAGAACATATATATAAGAAGCTGTAATGCTAAGTTTTTGAAAATTGCAAAACTTTTTAGGTCTAGGTACAAATGTGGATTTGAAAGTATAAAAATCCATTGTTATAGAGACAATAAAGAAATAATTATTTTGATGTACAAGATTTATTATTTTATCACAATTATTTTTCTTTTATTAATTAAAGATTTGTATTAAAAACATTTTTAAAAGGAAAAGAGCTAACACAGTTATAAAAAATATAAAAAAAGATTAGTTTGTACATAAATAAGTTTGAGTTAATTAGGCTATTTTACTTTTTTATAACTGCATGTTACCTATTACTTTCAAATGGCTGAACTATTTGTGATATTTTTTTTATTAACTTTTGTATCAGACAATTTTTTTCCTTGGTTTACATTTTACTGAATTATCTTTCAGACTTGTATAGATTCAAGATCCAGTGCTTCTTCAACAGAACAATATTATTACATGCATATATACTTTTCCTATTTTCGTACAATTGACTTGAGTAACACAGGACATCATATGCAAAAGCCATGATGATGACTTAATGTCAGAAAATGGTGTATGTGTAAACATATGTAATTTTGAGATAAACACACTAATTAATATATATATATATATGTATTTTTAACAAATATTCTAATTATAGTAGTAAAATTCAATATTACAAATTATACGTCTATATTTTCTATACATTATTTTAATAATATATAGAAAATATATAATTAACTGATATAGAAACTAATCATCATGATCATTTTTTTAATTTCATAATTATAAATTTTTATAATTGTGAGATCTGAAAGACCCCTGGGTCTAAAATAGTAATTTTATTGGTAATGTTAAATATTGTCACAAAATATTATTTCATTTGGTGAGAAATTAACGTTTTCCAACGTGAGAAAAATAGATAACAGATGTTACTTCCTAAGTTCGTACATCCTCTGTTTTTCCCTTATCTGCAAAAAACCTCGCTTTGATGGGAAATGTTTACCCCTCACATATTCCCCTTTTGTCCGTTCCCACGAAAGAATCTTGCATGATGATTGGTCGCCGATCGTCAGATATAGCGGGAATTTATCAGAATTCGTGGAGTTCATCGACAGATCTAGAAGAGTCGGGACTCCATACATATTTGCTCTTAAAGGCCAATGCCTATACTATGAGCCATACAATATACAAAGGATTGAGTCTAGAAATACACCCAGTTAAGCTGATCTCTCCAGAGGAAAGAAGACAGAGAATTCGAGGAGTGAACTAATACTTCATATACAGAGCCGAAGAGTAAAGACAACGATCAGGTTGTATGTTTGTAAATGATTTTGTGAGCTCTCTCTCTCTCTCGTGTATCGGTTAGATATAAGTCCCTATCTCGCACGACTTATAAACTATAATTAGTAGTGGTAGTCTCCTTATCATATATTTGTATTCCTATTATTTGGTTACGGTTAATTAAATTTACTCTTGTTTATTTTATAAAGAAATGTCTCTCAATTATTATCTGAATAAGATTGCCCCAAGCGTGTTTATCCGCGTGTAAAATAACTGATAAACTGGTGTCGGGACCCTGACGTAAGGAAGAAGGTGAATTCGCCATCACCAACTTCTGCTCTAAATTATAATTTAACAGTAAAGCCCTCCATACTCGTTTCCCTAAGTTTGGAAAAGGCCGTTCTTGTAGACGACAGAGAACTAGTCCTACCGACTAGCTGCCTAGTAAGTGATACAGGCATAACAACCTACCCTGTACCCCAGGCTGAATCTCACATAATGCTTTTAATGCTACAAATTATATTTCAATCAATATATTTTTTAATGCAATTGGGAAAACTTAAGCATCTCTGTTTATTTTGTGAAGTTTTATTTTTTAAAATACAGTATAATCTCTGAATAGCAGACACCATCAAGACCGAGAAGTTTGTCCACTATTTAAAGGTATCAGCTATTCATAGAGACATGCCAATAGCCATATTTTATTTTAACCTGGTCACTATAAAGGGAAGAATATGGTGGATTATAAAAACATCAAATTTGCATTAAGAATGTGAATATACAAAAAGGATATGTAGCATATATAATTAAAATATATATATATATCATTTATTTTTTTCAGTTGTAAAAATCTTGTTTTAATTGAATCTCATTTGAATGTCAAGTTACGAAAGCAATTTGCTATCCACTTGAAAATGGTAGGAAATATATTTGGAATTACTACATTTATAATATCATTTATGATCTAAGCGATTTAATAGAAATTGATACAGGGATTTATCTGCTTTGTAGTTATCAAGAAGGTGTAACTTTTCAAACATTTCTGCTTTTTTCAGTAACCGATTTATTAAAAATTAGACATTAGCAACCACTAAACTGTTAAAATGATTATGACAAAAGTGTTTGGGTTTGGTGTAAGTTCGAAGGTCGTGTTATGAAGGTAACTACTTTAAAGTGTGAGAAGATATTCAATTTTCTTGCATTTATGAAGTCACTTATGATCTTAAGTTTCTTTTTCATTACTACTATACTATGATACTTGTGGAATGAATGAATAACTTTGAAAAAGTTTATAGTATTTTGTTATCATAAGCTTAATTCCAAGAATAAAACAAATTTAATAACATTAATATGTATAATGATAAATGGTGTTTGACAACTTAGCCAGATTAACCTTCTCTAACAGATAAAAAATATTGTTTGACTTCTTATAACCTGCCCTCCTGCCCTATTCCTGCTTTAAGCCAGTTTTTATTTGATACTTATAGTCAAAATTTGTCGCCTGACAGAATATTTGAACCAATTCTTTGTTTTTGTTTTAAAATATTTTGTATGTAATTAATTCTTTTAGAGTATTGAAGGTGGGACATTGTGCTTTCGTAAGGTTGGTTATGGATGACAGTATCTGTTATTTAGAAGTAAATATAATAGCTGTCCTATTTGAAGGGACTGGAGATTGTAAAAATGTGTGTTAAATAGAGGTGTCTGCTATTCAGAAGTATCTGTTAATGGAGATTTCACTGTATAACTATTATTACCTTTGGAATCACAGAAATTGTTGGATTCACATAAGTCCTTTCTTGATTATTTGGTCCTTTCGATAATTTAAAATCTTTCAATTCATTATCTAAATCATTGTCATCAGTTTCATAAACTTTTCTTCCTGCAAAGTCTAATGTAATCTTCATTTCATTACGTGATTTATGTTTCTTGGCAAATATTTCTTCTTCTTTTTTTTTAAGTTCTTTTCTCTCAACAGGTGATAACCAAGTATTTGAATCCAAACAATAATAATCTGATTCATCATCAATTACTAATGTTCGTTTTTCTCTGTAAAGGAAATAAGACTTACAGTCTAATATTTTATTTCTTTATAAAAAATGAAAAATTTGTTATTTTATAGATATTTTCAGTTATAATTTGAAATATATGTAAAATTACTTAATAAATAACAGGTAATTAATAATTTAAATTGATTAAAATTTAATGTCAAATTAATACAAATTAAATTATCACATTAAGAAATCATTTTAAATCTTAAAATTAACTTTTTAATTATGTAAACAAATTTTATGAATAATCAATTCATTAATTTAAGTGAGATTCAGTTCCTATACAGCTATGATCAGCATATTAACTTGAAATTGGTACATATATTATCTTGTTTTAAACATCTAAACTAGTTAAAAAATTATTGAAGTTAATATCAGACACTCATGAAATCTTTACAAGCAGCAAAAACAATTTAATTAAAAATGTTTTTGGTTATTTTTAAAGACTTAAAGACCATCTTCAGGTAAAATACAAAATTGAACTCAGTGAAAAATAGAATATAATGGATAAACATTGGAAATAGAATGCCAGTTGTTTAAATTCAAATAATAGATTAAAATTTAAATAAATACATAAATAAATAAAAAATAAACAACAAATAAAAATACAATATAAATACATAAAAATCCATAAAGAATATACATAACGATAATAAAATAAACTAACCATGTGAATGTGAGCATCCCATAGACATATGAAGATGTTGATCCTGGTTATGCTTCATGTAACTTGTATCAAGCCCACCAGACTGCCAAAGGGCATTAATATCCTTATGAGTTGGAGGATCTGCTGAGTGCTGAATAAAGCATAACAGAATCAACATCTCCATATGTCTACGGAGTGCTCACATTTACATAAATCATTTATTGTATAACAATTATATATTCTTTATTGATTTTTATATATATTTATTTTATTATTTATTTACTCATTATGGATTTTTATGTACAGTATTTATATTGTATTTTAATTTTTATTTATGTTACTTATTTTTCATCATCTATCTATGTATTTAATTGTATTTTTATTATATTGTTTTAAATAAACTGGCATTCAATGTTCCAAAGTTTCTATTATACTGTATTCTATTTTTTTGCTGAGTTCAATTTTGTATTCTACCTGAAGACTGTTTAAAATAATCAAAAATGTTTTTAATTACAAACATTTTTGGTTATTTTTGCTTATAATTGTTTTTGCTGCTTATAAAATTTTTGTGAGTGTCTGAATTTCCATAATTGCAATTTCTATTGAATATATTTAAACAGTTTACACATGTTGAAAGTATATACATTTCAAACAATTTTAAACAGAAAGTGAGCAGTAGCGTATGTGGTTTACAAAACATGAAATAAAAAAATTTCTTGAATGTTCCCTAAATAAGCATGCATCAATTTGAACAGTAAAGGCCAATGCACATGAACAGTAAAATTAAGGTGACAAGTGGCATCATCAATCATATGTTTTGATCTTGGCAATCAACAGAAATAAGTGGTTGATCCTGTTGTTGACATCAATTGCAATCTTAATTTTATACTAATGTGCATAAATCTTAATAGTATTGCAGACACCATTTGAAAAGTTTTTTGTGAATATACAATTATCTAAAAGCTATTTTTGTGTGAAGGATGGTAGAGTCAAATTCTATTACCACTATGAATGAAACCTTAAAACAGCATTTCATCGTGTATCTATTTAGCAGCAGCATTCTGCAATGGATAGAACAATTCAAGGCAACAGGCAGAATAAAAAAAACAAATCCAACAGAACTATCCACATTATCATGCAATTTTGATGTAACAGCTATCCAAGACATAATGAAATGAAATTATATAAGTATTTATTTAGAGCAGGAATGTCAAACTCATCTAAACAACAGGCCATTTAATGAAATTGATAAAATTCACAAGGGCCAAATCACATTTTCAAATTTTCTTAAAATTATAATTTGAAGAGAATGCAGGAATATAGATAGGGTAATTAAAACATTATATATCAGGTCAGTCCAAAAGTTCATGCACATTAGTAGCATGTATGGGTTTTGAGATTACTCATTACCAGATCGATAAGATTCCGAACCTGTCGAAACTTGTCATCGCTTGACCGTTGTATTCGTCAGTTTGTCACCAAATTTCGTAAAGATCAGACGCATATTAGTACCGATAAAAAATGAATATCGATAACGCATATAAACGTGCTGTGTTATATTTTTTCTTTTCAAGTGGTGAAACTGCCAGATCTGCAGCAATAAAAATTAATAGTGTACATGGTGCACATACTATTAGTGTGAGGACTGCCCAGAAATGGTTCGAAAAATTTAAACTTGGAAAAAGCAACATTAATGATGAACCTCGTTCAGGACGTCCTGTCAATTTTGATAACGACGTTCTTAAAAATCTTGTGGAGTCAGAGCCACATTTAACAGTGGATCAGATCGCAGAAAAGATGCATTCATCTCATGGGACAGTCTTTTGCCATTTAAAGGAGATTGGAAAAGTATCCAAGCTTGGAAAGTGGGTACCACACGAGCTGTCCGAAGCCAATTGCCAGCAGCGATTAAACATCTGCATTTCCCTTCTATCGTGCTTTGAAAGAGAGCCATTTTTAGACTGTTTGGTAACAGGTGATGAAAAATGGGTTATTTATGATAATGTCACCAGAAAAAGACAGTGGACAGACAAAGATAAGCAGCCAATTCCAACACCAAAGGCATCTTTACATCCCAAAAAGTTCTGCTAAGTGTGTGGTGGGATATGTATGGTGTCATTTATTATGAATTGTTACAACCAAATAAAACCATTAATGCAGATGTATACAGTTAACAACTTTGCCGTTTAAATTCAGAATTGATTAAAAAATGCCCGCAATTGGTGAATATGAAGAAAGTGTTGTTCCACCGTGATAACGCTAGACCGCATACGGCTCGAAAAATGCTGCAAAAAATTAATGAACTGAATTGGGAGCTTTTGCCGCATCCTGCATACTCCCCAGATATTGCCCCAAGTGATTTTCAGTTTTTTCGTGCCTTACAAAATTTTTGCCAAGGCAAAAAGTTCAATTCTAAACAGGATATACAAAATGAATTCGAAGCAAAATGAAGTTTTTTTGCTTCGAAACCAGAATCTTTTTACACCAATGGAATAAAAAAGCTACCAGAAAGATGGCGAGATATTGTAGATAGCGGAGGAAAATATATAATAGATTAAAATGTTAAATTGTGTTTTATTTACACCATTTAAAAATTTCACCAAAATGAACACAAACTTTTGGACTGACCTGATAGTTCAATGAATTCAATTTAACAATATATAATTGCTATAGTATTGCTTTTATTTAAACATTTATTTTATTTAATGTACATATTTATAAAACTAAAATTAATTGTTTTTACTGGAAACTTGCCAGTGCTTTCTTCCTCCTACTAGTTTTCCAATATTTGGATTCAAAGACTGAGAACAAACAATCTTCACTATGGCAGATAGATGTTTATCAGTTAATCTTGATCTGTAAGCCGTTTTATTTAATTTTGTACATGAAAATAATAGCTCACATAAGTACATACTTCCAAAAAAAACATAAAATTTGTGCAGCAAACTTTTTAATTTCCAGGTATTTTTCACCTAAATAGGAATATATTTTGGGAGTTCCCACTTCTCAATATTTGTCTTTTAAAATCGAATCATTCTGGAAATCAACTAATTCCAGTTGTATCAAAGTGGAGCTTTTTCAACTTCAAAGGAAAAAGGTCCAATGAAAAAACAAAAAAACAGTTACTTGCTATTTTCTTCATAACATAATGTTCTGTATTTCATTTTATTGCAGAGCATCGTCGCTATAGGCCACAAAAAATCACATCAGGGGCCGCCAGTTTGACACCCCTGATTTAGAGCATGTTTAAAGAATAAATAAAAAAATTTAACCTCCTTCATTCAACAGTATATAACGTTACATAAATGTATAAAATTTTCATGAAAACAAAATACAAGTTAATTGATCTCATACTTGCCCACATAATCATTAGTTTCTACTTTGTTATAGAAATGAAAATTAACAGCATTTTATTTATCCATTTTAATTTTTTCATTTTATAAATATTTTTGTAACCTATTTTTTAAAAACTTATCTTTAAACATATAAAAATTTGTTCTTTATTAGTTTTTAAAAATTTTATATTCAAATTAGAAGATGGAGCAGAATAATCCCAAAAAACATTTAATCCAGATATAATGTTTAGATTTCTATAAAATATAGGCAGAGTTTTTGAGTTTAAGCAGGATATAACTCTTCTATCAGAAGTTAATCAAGTAATGTTATGAAACTATTTGTTACAAGAAGTGGATAATGATAATGCTTACTTTAAGTACATCTTATTTTTTCAAACAAGGCATCATTTTATGTTAAGGCATTCTCTGAATTATTTATTTTTGCATTTGTTTTGCTGTATATTTTTATTCTATTGATACTCTAATTATATTCTCATTTAACTTAAAGTATACTTTTATTATATTTTTGCAGCATTTCCAATAACATAAATAAATGCAAACCACAAATTAAAGGAAATTGAAACATCCTATTTAGCTAGGAGATGGAGATGGCAAAGCTGTGTAAACTTACACTGACTGTAAACCAAAATCAGATATAAGCCTCTGTCTTATAGTTTTCAGTTTTGACTGTGAGTTAATCAAAAATACTTCATTCCAAAACTTCTAAGTTGTTCATTGTTATTCAGTGTGTCTTTGGACAAATTCAAGTTTCTTTGAAAATGGATAATTGTTTAAAACTATTAATAAATCTAATTATGGGTATAGAAATATTTAATAAGTAAATTAGTAAACAAATACAAAAATAAAATTTAAAATAAAATTTTAAAAAGTTCTTAAGAAAATCAAGATTTGAACCCAGAACAGCCAAAATATAACCACTGAACCACTCACTCTTACAAACATATTTGTGCCAGATATATATCCAATAACTTAAAATTGGTTCCATTTTCTCAAAACCATTTAGGATCAAAGATTATTGATTATTACACACAGGTTTAATTTCACATAAAATTTTATTTTAAATATAAAATATTGTGGTGGGATATGTATGGTGTCATTTATTATGAATTGTTACAACCAAATAAAACCATTAATGCAGATGTATACAGTTAACAACTTTGCCGTTTAAATTCAGAATTGATTAAAAAATGNCCCCGCATCGTCGCTATTTTCGAGATATGAGATATGAAAAAAGCAGTCGTCCAAGAGGAAAATTAGATAATTATTTAATCGTTTTGAGTAAATTGCTGACATACCGCGTTGTTTTTGAGTAGCAGATGGACATATTTTTAACATTTAAAAATTTTTCATGCATATTATCAGAATGTTATAATCAATGACAAATAAAATATGACATAATTAAAAATTACTGCATTCAAATAAGATATACAGGGTGATTGGAAAATGTCTGGCCAAAATTTAAAGGGGGTTAGAGGGGAAGAATATAAAAGGATTCACAGTACAATGCTTGTCCGGAAATGCAGAATTAAGGTGGTAGAGAGCACTGTGTAGGGTAGTTGAAACAAGCCAGCAATGCAGGAAGCTGTCATTCCCTGCTGTGATTTCATACAGCATGCAGCACTTCACAAATGCTGAACTAGCAGATATCAATCTGATGTATGAAGCTGTGAACAGAAATGGGAGAGCTGCACAAAGGTTGTATAGGGAACGATTTCCCAACAGAGAAATACTGAATCATCAAACTTTCAAGCAAGTGCACAGACAGCTTCATGAAAGTGGATTCTTCAATGCCAACAGACATGACGTGGGCAGGCCTTGCTCAGCGAGAACAGTGCCAGTGGAAGAAGATGTCATATGTGCGGTGGAGCACAACTTTCCACAAGCACGAGAGCTGTTTCCTGTAGATTGGGTGAGACAGACACTTGTATGGGAGATTTTGCATGCCAAAGGTATGCACCCATACCGTTTACAAAGGGTGCAGACATTGATACAGGCAGATTTTCCTCTCTATATAAACTTTTCACAATGGTACTTGCAACAGGCTGCTGTGCAGCCTGACTTCCCCCCTTATTCACAGATGACACAATGTTCACTTGAGAGGGTGTGTTTAACAGTCACAATGCTCATGTTTGGAAATATGACAATCCTCATGCGACAATACCTCATGCTTACGAGCAGAGATTTAGTGTTAATGTGTGGGCAGGTATGGTGCACAAATACGTGATTGGGCCATATATCTTACCTCATCACTTGGACGGCTCAAAATACCTCATCTTCTTGTAACAGGTCTTGCCCAAACTGCTGGCCGTTGTGCCTCAGTGCATCCAGAGACATATCTGATTCCAGCACGATGGAGCGCTGACACACTTTAGCCGTGATGTCAGGAATTACCTGGACGCTACTTATCGACACAAGTGGATTGGTCAAGATGGACCTGTTCCATGGCCACCATGATAACAAGATTTGTCCTGTTTGGATTTCTTTTCTGGGGCCACTTGAAAAGCATCATCTGTGATACCCCTGTGGCTCTGACATCAATCTTGTCGCCAGATTAGCTGTTGCTGTTGGAGATATGCAGAACATGGCTGGTGTTTATGCTAATGTACGCCATTCCATGCAGTGGTGATGTGAAGCTTGTATTATGGTTGGTGGTCATTCTTTCGAGCATTTGCTGTGGCATGTTGATTTAATAAAGGGCTTATTAGATTTGTTTGTGTCCCTTTCCTTTTACCTTTCCACTTTCTTTACTCTCCAGAACTTTCACACAACATTTCCAGACAAGCACTGTACTGCAAATCCTTTTATATTCATCCCCTCTAACCCCCTTTAATCCTTTTCCCTCGAAAGTACTGATCAATCGGTACCCCATTGTTAAGCAAAACTTCGAGGGTACCAATTCGTCGTTACCCCAGAAAAATCAATTTTTGTAAAATTTATGGACAACAGATGTCAGCACTTGACGGCAATGTCTTGTCTATCATCTGTTTTACATATTTTTCTCCAAGTGGTGTTTTGTTCTGATAATTTTTTATTTCATTTTTAGCATATTCATGCAATAACATTACTATAATAAATTCATTTATGCTATAATAAGTTTATTTAGCTATAATAAGTCAACGTGTATTAAATATTCAAGTTGTGATCTTCAGTTCTGACATTTTATATATTTTTTATTTTAATCTAAAATATCAGCAAATGTATTACATGTATTACTACTGGTAAATCATATGTTTATTACAAGAATTTATATTCTTGTTTGATTTGAAGTGAATAAAGTATATTAGTTCATTATATTAGTTGACAGCATAATAAAGTTTTGATTTCAAACAAATGTTTGATATAATGTGTGATAATTTCACAATGAATAAACATACTTGCATAAGTGTTATATAGAGTTGTACAGAACAATATTCTACCTCTTTTTGGCTCATTGCCAGCAAAAAACTAGGTAACTAAACAATGTTAATTTCGACAAAAAGTTACAAATTATCAAGTTCAAATGTCAGTTCTTATATATATATATACTGTCTTATAGTTTTCAGTTTTGAC